TGTGTGCCGTGGTGCGATCAGTTTTTTCTCTCGTCTGGACACACCAGGTTAATCTTCCAGTAACAGAAGGTATACTATAATATAATCAGTAAGAAAGAGCTGAAGTGATCGTGTTCCACGTATCTCCTCCGAAACCGCGTGCACGTATTCGTCACGGAATCAGAGGCTGGGCCTTCCTGGACGTACGAAGTTCGCCATTCCTCTCTTACGGTTTAAAACGCGATTTTGTCGATCGTTAAAGTGACTTTTTGGAGGCAATTTTCTAAAAGTTATAGTGCCGAAGAAATTCGAACATGTTCATCGGAAACCGTGCACCAACCTTTTTAAAATGCATAAATCCGCATGCGCACACACCAAGCCATGACGCGCTGCGGGTGTGGATGTATAAACAACCAAGCACTGCGCGCACAGCTGTGAGGGCGAAAAATTTAAGACAAACCCCCAATGAGAGACGGGCTGCAGTTGTCATGTGTGCTGTCGTCGTGTGTTGTGTGCGTCGTGCGTGTGCGTGTGTGTGTGCGCCGCCCGATGTGTGTGTAAATGTGGTATTGTGTGTGCGTAGGGTGCGCATGTGATTGTTGCGTGCGCATGCCCCATGTGTGAAATGCGAGGACTTTCAAGAAAATATATCTTCAAAACTACTCAATGCATTTTGCTTTCTTTTAAGAATTTCATTTATTATTGATGCCGCTTCTAACCAGTATGATATTTTCAAAAATAATATTTAAAGTAGTGAAATAATTGTACTATGAAATCACCCAATTTCCCTTTTTTTGAAAAATTGTATGTCATTTTAGAGTAAAATTTCAGATTTGATATATATTTATATACATTTATTTTAAACAAACATTGATATATGACTCGAATCTAAATATCAGTATTTGTCATTTACTGTAAATACATCCTCAAATAAAAATGAGAGATAAATGGTTAAACCGCCATCCTCAAATCAGACCCCACTCAAACCCGTCTGGAGGACGGGTAATAGCTAGTATATACATATAAGAGGTCAGGGAATAGAACTATTCCAGTGTTTCCGCTGCATTGACATGAGCGAGGCGGGCCGCCTCGCTCAAATTCTCAGCTGCCACACAGAACTTTGTCCAAAACACCGCTTCGCTGACAAAAATCAGTGTTCTTCCATCAATAAACCACGCTTTATTGAACTAAAATCGAAATAATAGCTTAGAATTCACCAAATTGCACCACTTTATTCAGAAATTGTGGAAATGAACCCCGGACAACCCCCCCCCCTAGCCCATGTGGGTGCTCGCTTTGCTAGGACCTCAAAACGCGCAAACACACCAACACAAAATTTACCACCTAACAGACCTTTTTGGCCAGGGGAAACACTGTATTCTCTATGCACATATGGCAAATTAGATCAAGTGCGAAAACATACTCGGTCCATTACGCCATACGTGATGTCTGTGAACACATATTTCGCTGAATCGATGTTGCATAGATCTGGATCATGCGCGAGAACTTCGGAGATGGGCTGTCGAGAATTCATCACAGGAGGCATCTGAAGTTTATGCTTGGCACGATCGACCGTTTCTCGTTCCAGCTGAAGTTGTGAAATTATACTTTACACGTATCTTTCTTGTTATATAATGTTAGTTTAGAATTAAACTATTATTAAATTGAACAGGCAATTGTTCACACTGTGATCTAACTGCTTGGTGAAGCCTAGCTGTTGTTTTTGTCAAACTAATGAAAAACTCGAGTATATAAGCTACTGAGCTTGTATTACACACCTGTTCTAGTTCAGTCTTTGTCATCAGTTTAAACTTCGGATTCGATCGTGGCTGCTTTTGCACATGAAACACCTTGTTAATGTTCAGCCTTGTAACCCTGTACAGAATCTTTTGCACTTGTTCATCTAGGAACAATTTTTCGACATCCCTGCCTTGGAATGTTGAATTCTCATTGTCTGTAATTTAAGATATTATTAATTAGTTAATCGAATTTTGTGCAAACAAACCTAGAGTTTATTTTCGTAAGTTCAACGATTATGGAGCCTGGAGATGGGCAACTGCATGACTAAAGCTGAAATTCCACAGGCCGATCGAGTCTCTCAGTGCTCTATATATAGACATTTCAAACTATGGTTTATGTCATTGGCAAATTGCTGTTTCCAGTGTAACACAGGTCTAGCCTGCAATGAGGCAAACACTCAGTAATTACTGGAGTTATTATTAATGATGGGGTTAACTTAGGAACCTTGGTGATGATACTAATAAAATATTTCCTTTTCAATCTAGTAACAGATAAGGATACAGTCGATCATACACAGGACCACCAGAATCTAGCTCTACCGTACAGGTTTGCTCCAACTACAGGTCTATGCTTCAACCTATGACGAGAAACGGAGAAGAATGTTTACAGCCGGCAACACTGTAGTCTGTGACACAATAAAAATCACTATATGTTTGCAACATATATTTGTATTCTTCAGCCAGCCAGCTAGAAATTCACTTTTAAAACACAATAACATGACCAAATTGGCCCCTTTATTGAACACAAACGATCGCACGATGAAATCATAATTCCACATACAAATTAAAACACTAGTGAGTAGGTGGCCTGCATTTTTCCAGGGAGGGGTGGACGGCCTTCCACCACCACTACATGGGTTGGTGTTGAGCTATATAGAGTATAGTAGCTGTAAGGAGAAGGTAAGTCAACTACTTAGTGATCACACTATGACTAAAACACAATAAGGTATACATAATCATTAATAATCAACTAATACAGTCATTTGGAAAGTAATTGAACACAATAAATAATTTAATTTTCCGCCCCTTAAGCACCAACATGGATGTGTGTTTTGGTAGTGCGATCATTCACGTTCCATAAAGCAATTAAAGGGGCTTATTACCTCCGCCAACGGAGTTGGGAGGAGGTTATGTTTTCGCTCTCGTGCGTTCGTGTGTTCGCGCGATCGATATTAGCGCGGCGGTCGATCGATATGACCCAGCGAGCCAGCCAGCGCAGCGACCCAGCGTACGTGTACATGCGTGAGCGAGCAGCAGCAACGAGCGGCTGCTACGAGCGAGCGAGCAGCAAGCCAGCGTGTCGCAGCAGTATGTCGCTGGCGAAGGTATGCACTCTCCGTGAGTGCCCTCTGTCTAGTTTGATCATGTTATTATGATTGAAAAGTGAATTTCTAGCTTTGGCCACCTCCTAAGGCTAAACAAGAACACAAGTTTATGTTGAAGGCTAGAGTGATTTCTTAATATTGTGCCACACACTACATTGTTGCCGGCAACGCTGCAAGCATTCTTCTCAGGTTCTCGTCATAGGTTGTAGCGGTAGGCCTTGTACTTGTAGCGGGAGCAAGGGGCTACACCGGTAGAGCTAATACTAATACTTCTAATGTGGGCCTGTACGGTCCGTAGTATTTGGACGCTCGCCCAAAACTGGACGCTCCTAAGTGCGCATGCGCAGTAGGCATCTGCGCATCTCGCCCATCAAAAACGGTCGCAATAACCAAACATGGCGGCCAACCCAGTCACTCATGGAAACAATTTGCAATGTAGTAAGACTGTGTTGTGTGTCAGGTTACAAGGCGAAACAAAAAGAAAACAAAAGAGCATGGCTACTATTTCCTACGGCCCTGCAAAACAAGATTCGAACAAAGAGAAAACAAGCAAAAAACAAAAGAGCGTGCGCGCATGCGCACTTAGGAGTGTCCAGTTTCGGGCAAGTGTCCAAATACTACGGTACAGGCCGACCTGTACTGTACTCTAGTGATGTCACAATCATCGATTATACTCGATCATCGGTTGAACAGTGGCTCGAACCAAGCGCTTAGTGATGTCACAATCATCGATTATACTCGATCATCGGTTGAACAGTGGCTCGAACCAAGCGCTTGGTTATCAAAATCCATAGGTAATCAATTTCATCGAGAAAAAAAAAGATTGAAATAAATGTAAAACTTGAAAAAGAAAACTTGGAAAAGTGATGAGAATCAGAGATATCAATGCTACTATACAAGTTATCCTTTATTAACATACATGTATTATACACACAGTAGTAAACAGTGCAAAACAAACAGTAAACAGGGCTAAACAAGCACATACTTCTACTTCTATACTGGACAGTCCGTGAGGAATAAACGTCCAGGGAGTGCGCGAAGAACTCCAGGTGCACGTGAGAGACTTGCACAGAACATTTTCAAAATGTAGACAGTAACAGGTTCCAGAGATCGAGGCTTCTCTGGGCCAGGCACTCATTACTGAGTGCGACTAGCATACGGCAATAGGCTGTTGCGAGCTGTTGTAGTTGCCCAGCCGGAGATGCGTTTCACTTCCTCGAGGTGGCATAACAACGAAGCTGCCTGACTCAATGTTTTTCCAGAGAGACCCAGTGAATTGCTGTGCTGTTGGACTAGTGAGTAGTGACTCCGGTAGCAGATTCCAGCTTCTGATTGTTCTAGGAAAGAAGCTGAACCTGTACCCATCTGTCCGGGTTCTGATGTTGTTGTATGTAAGCTGGTGTGTGCCATGGCATATGCTGGTGCTTTTGGTAAGGAAGGATGGAAAGTCGACTGCTGCCTGTCCGTTGATTATCTTCCAGAATAGGGCCTGTCGGTTGACAAACCTGCGTTCCTGCAAGGAGGGCCATTGTAGGTCTGCGATCATTTGTGTAACACTCTCAGTTTGCTGGTAATTCCCCGTTACGAAGCGCGCTGCTCGTCTTTGCACTTTCTCCAGGGAGGTGATATCCTTCTGTGTGTGTGGATCCCAGACACTACTTGCATACTCGAGGCTCGGCCTCACGTATGCTTTGTATGCCATCTCCTTGACAGGTTCTGGGCATCCTACAAGGTTCCTGCGGATGAAATTTAGGGCCCCGGTTGCCTTTCCTTTCGACCGACTGATGTGGGTAGACCAAGAGAGGTCATCAGTGAGCTCCACGCCGAGGTAGAGTTGATGTTCCTCCTTTTTGAGCTTGGTTCCCATGATGGTATAGGTCTGCTTTATTGGGGTTTGTTTCCTTGATATTGTGAGGGTGGTGCACTTTTTTGGATTAAATGACATTTGCCAGTTGATGATGAACACACGTACATGCACACCGTACGACGTTACGCACACGCAGGCATTCAACACCCCGAGTAACCGATTGTAACCGATCATCGGTTACTTGAGTTGGTTCCAACCGATGATCGATTACGAAATTACAACCGATTGACAACACTACTGTACTCTGTAGACTGTAGCTTGTGACGTGAGTCACTGAGTGTAACACTAACAGTAGCAGTGTGTATCGCGCTCGCCTAATGAGGCTAATCAGTAATCACTAACATGAGTACTATAATCGTTATCTTAAATATAAAAGCAATAAACGTGACCTAGATATTTGCATCACAAGCACCTTTTGTTTCCACAGTAGAAGTAAGCATCCGACAAGATATTCCCGTAACATTTTGCCTGATACTCTGAAGAACAGACAAACACGATCTTCTTAAGGGCGCTGCCATGTTGCGAACTATCCTAGCTCTTGTTTCATGCCTTTGCTCAGATATTTTTTTACATTTTTTTATATGGGGAATTTTAGATGTAGTAACTTTTTAATAACTATTTGGCAAATTAGATATACAGTTATAATTTATTTGATACTAACTAAGCTTAATTTGGTTATTTGTTCAACACGAAGTTTCGTGGCCTTGGCAGCGTCAACGTTGAACTCATACGATATACACATAAAAATAATATAGAGAGAATCTCTATATTATTTTTATGGATATACTCATGTATTTTAACTATTAATGATATATATAGACATGAGAACAATAAATACAAAGCATATATTGTTCTCAGCTGTGGGCGAACTGCTCACTGTCAAATTCATAATGTTCGTAACGCAAAATGCCCGTGGCGTTGTCCCTCTAGCTAAAAAAATTAAGCCATCTATATATACACACACACACACACACACACGCAGCACGCACGCACGCACGCACGCACGCACGCACGCACGCACGCACGCACGCACGCACGCACGCACGCACGCACGCACGCACGCACACACACACACACACACAC